GCTTTTTAATTAAAATGCAATTCTCCTCTTTCGACAGGTGGAGGATTGGTCTATTTACTCTAGAGCTAAACCCACACCACACACACCCCCCCCCCCCCACACCACACACACACACTCCCCCCACACACACACACACACTCCCCCCCCCACACACACACACACACACTCCCCCCCCCACACACACAACATACCAACCCCCCCACACACACTCCCCCCCCCCACACACACACTCCCCCCCCCACCCACACCCCCCCCACACACACACTCCCCCCCCACACACAGCCCCCCCCACCACACTCCCCCCCCCACACCACACTCCCCCCCCCACACACACACTCCCCCCCCCACACACCACAATCCCCCCCCACCCCCCCCCACACACTCCCCCCCCCCCACACACACACCAATCCCCCCCACACAATCCCCCCCCCACCACACACACACACCCCCCCCCACACCCCCCACACAATCCCCCCCCACACACACCCACAACACCCCCCCCCACACACACACATACACACACCTGAACATAGACTTTCACGTCTCACCATCACTGTGGGGCTCAATCCTTCTGAACCCCAACTTTTATTTGGAAGGAAAATCGTGTTTCAGCTACAACCCCACACACCCCCCACACACCCCCCCCCCCCCCCACACACCCCACACCCCCCACACCCCCCCACACCCCCACACCCCCCCCCCCCCACACACACACACCCACCCCCCACACCCCCCCCCACACACCCCCCACCCCCCACACACCCCCTTTTCAAGGGCTAAGAGAAATTCCTGTGCTATGCCCCCCCCCACACCTCCATTCCCCCCTCCCCCACACCCCCATTCCCCCCCCCACCCCCCCCCACCCCCAGGGCTCAGTTGCCTATTCCCACCACTGTTTGGTTGAGTCATTGTGAACGTCCTCAATGTCATCTTTTGAAACATTCGGAGCAATTGATGAGTCATTGTGGATCTGATCCGACAATTCACTCCCTGTCCTTTGAGAAGTTGGGACCAAACTGTCGGTTAAGTATCATAAGAGGTTCGTTTCAAACACTCCTTTTGTCAGAGGAGGATACACTGCAGTGAGTACTTGTAAGAACTTGGTACCAAACTGCCCCCAAACTGAAATAAAAGTTGATATTATGTCAATGTAAAACAATGCCTTCGCACTCCCCCTCCACCCCCCAAACCCCCAAACCCCCCCCTCACCACCACCCCCTTTGGCTACTTTCAAGGATGTAATGTAACTCGAGGTTTAACTCTGCCTTTAACTCAATTTTAATTTGTTTTGTTGTTTTTATTATTATTCTGTCTCGCACGTTCTCTCCCCCTTCTCGCTTTCCTCGCGTGTTTTCTTCCCCATTTCCCCTTTGTTCTCTCTCTCTTCCCCCCCTTCCCCATCTTTCCCCCTTTTCCCTCTCTCTCTCTCTCTGTGCTTCCTCTCTTTCTCTTTCTATCTCAAGACCTACCGCTGCGCTCTTGCCTCCGCCAAGTCCTCCTTTTACTCCAAGGTTATCTTGGAGGCAAAGGACAACCCCAGGCTTCTCTTTTCCACCACTAACCATCTCCCCCGTCCACATTCTCATACCTCGCTCATCCTCTCTTCAAACTCCAACTGTGAGGAGATGCTGGACTTCCTCAAATCTAAAATCGAGGGGATACGTTCAGCCACGTCAGCCCCATCCACACCCACCCCCACTTCACCTCTCCCTCATGACCCACCCTTCACCCATCCCCCCCCCTTCGACCCTATCTCTCCCTCCTCCCTCACCAGGATTGTCCGCAAACTCAAACCCACCACCTGCTCCCTCAATCCCATCCCCACCTCTCTCCTCGTCTCCCAGCTCCACCTTCTGGCCCCTCTCTTGTCCGATGTCATCAACCTCTCCTTGTTCACCGGTTCAGTTCCCACCCCCCTAAAAACAGCTGTCATCACCCCTATCTTGAAAAAACTTTCCCTGGATCCATCCCTCCTCTCCAGCTACTGCCCCATCTCTAACCTCCCATTCCTCTCCAAAGTCCTGGAACGAGTCGTCACGTTTCAGCTCCGCTCCTTTCTCTCTCGCCATTCCCTCTTTGAACCCCTCCAATCCGACTTCTGCCCTCCCCATAGCCCTGGTCAAAGTCACTAATGATATTCTGAACATCTGTGATCAGGGCTCCCTCTGCCTCCTTGTCCTCTTCGACCTCTCTGCCGCCTTCGACACTGTCGACCACTCCATCCTCATACACCGCCTCTCCGCTTTACTCACTCTTCACGGACCTGCCCTTGCCTGGTTCGATTCCTATCTCTCTCACCATCTCCACTTTATTGCCTCTAACGGTTTCTCCTCCAACTCCCGCACTGTCACGTCTGGCATCCCCCAGGGCTCTGTCCTTGGCCCTCTCTTTAATATCTACATGCTCCCCCTCGGGGACATCATCCGCCTCCATGGGGTCAACTTCCACATGCATGAGGATGATACCCAACTCTATCTTTCTGCCTCCACCCTCAACTCTGGGACCACTGCTGTCCTGACAGACCGCCTGTCAGACATCAAGTCCTGGATGAGGGCAAATTTCCTACAGTTGAATCTGAACAAAACTGAGGCCCTCCTGATTGGCTCACGCCAGCGCCTCAGCACCTCAGGCTCTGGCACCATCACCCTCCATGGTTGCACACTTCAACTCACCAACCAGTCAGGAACCTCGGTGTCATGTTCGACCCTCAACTGTCTTTTCTCCCCCACATTCAAGCCATGACCCGCTCTGCCTTCCCTCACCTCCGTAACATCGCCCGACTCCGCCACTACCTCACCCCTCAGGCCGCTGAAACTCTTGCCTTCATCACCTCCAGGCTCGACTATGCAAACTCCCTGCGTGTCGGCCTTCCCAACTCCTCACTCCACACACTGCAGATAATCCAGAACTCTGCAGCCCGTGTCTTCTCCCGCACCAAACCCTGTGACCCCATCTCCCCCACTCCCGCCCGACTCCATTGGCTCCCTATCCTTCAGAGGATCCAGTTCAAGATCCGGGTCCTCACATACAATTCCTCCATGGCCTCATCCCACCCTACCTCTGTGGCCTCCAACCCCCTACCAACCCAATGTTCCCTCTATTCAGCCGGCTCTGGTTACTCCACGTCCCCCGACCCACCCGCCCCACCATCGGCGGGAGAGCCTTCAGCCACTCTGCCCCCAACCTCTGGAATTCCATCGCCCAGTCACTCCACCTCGCCCCCTCCATAGCTTCCTTGAAGTCCCGCCTCAAGACCCTCCTCTTCGACCATGCCATCGGCCACCGCCCTGACCCCAGCTCGGGTCTGGAATGCTGTATTCTGTCCGGTGCCTTGGGATGCCCTCCAGGCGTGAAAGGCGCTATACAAATGTAATCTTGTTGTAGTTGTTGTTGTTTTCTTTGTTTCCTCCCTTTTTTGCTTTTTCACTCCCTCATTCACTCTTTCTTTAAATCCCCCACCAAAAAGAGCCCCTCTGCTGTTTTCCATTGGCTGAAATCCAGGGGTTGATTTTGCAGCCAATCCTAACACCAAAGCCTGGAGATTGACAGACGTAACCGGGTCAATCCCTGATGAGATTTTATGTCTAATCTACCAAGAGTCCAATGAGAAGTGAGGCTCAAGATAATTCAGGGAATGTTCTCTCTCCTGACTCAGTTTACTCCCAGACCAGGTCTCACAGAGTGGAAATCGATGCTATGTGCATTCTCTTCTTCAAATTCAACCCAGACGCCAAGGATCCAGCAGATTACAAGTGAGTCTTACATTCCTTAGAATAGTGGTTAGAGCACTCGCCTGGCAAGCGAGAGGACTCGGATTCGATTCCCGGGCGGGCAAAACCTTTGGCGAGTTTCCTTACTCCACACTCCTCTGTTTACCTAGCGGTAAGTAGGAACCCAGTTCTTAGTCATTTGGCGGATCACTTTCCTGGGGTAATAAACCCTTCAAAAAAAAAATAATAATTTGGTCACTCAATCCACCAGTTTGTGGGACAGTATTGTCCCACAAATTGTGATGGATTGTTGCATTCCAATATAGTCAATTCACTTTACAGTACATTCTGTGAAGCGCTTTGAGACATCTAAATGACGTAATATAGCACTATATCAAATGCAAGGATTATTATTTATATAATAATCTATCCCCCAAAATTGTTACTCAATCCATGACTGCTTGTGGGACACTGCTCTGAGCAATCAACAGCCGGGTTTCACCCACAAAACACACAGTCACTCCACTTTATCTAATGAGAGATTAACCAGGCAGGCGCGATCGCAGGAGACAATTTTCACAGAGAGAACGATGCACATTCTCAGCAACAAGGGATCATGAGTCACACTTAAACGTGTCAGTCCAGTGATCAGTTATTATATAGTGTAAAGTGGTAATCAGTTCCTGTATATATATTTTTAAAAATGTAGTCGATCAATTAAACTTTTACACTGCTGCTGCGTTTCGTCCACAAAATGCAATTAATCCACTTTAACAATAAGTGCTTTGAGACGTCTCGAAGATGTGATGAGGCGCTATATCAAATGCAAGGATTATTATTATAATAATGCATTTGATATAGTGCCTTATCATGTCGGTTTGCTTTACAATATATACTGTTCAGTGCTTTGAGACATCTCAGCGACCTGATTAGGTATTATAGCAAATGCAAGGATTATTATTATTGTTATTATTTTTTATCTTGAACCTTTGGCTTCTGAGAGTAACAGCTGTCGCTCAGCCCCACCCATACCTGGCACTTGGTCCCGCTCACACCTCTCGCTCAGCCCCGTCCCAGGAATGATGGTGGTGCCGTGTCTCCACAGGCTGATCCTCGCGGCCAATCGAGATGAATATTATCACCGACCGGCCAAATCCGCCCAATTCTGGTCGCACAACCCTGAGGTTCTCAGCGGTGAGTAATAAGGCGCACAGCTTCGAGGTCTGAAGGTTGTGGGTTCAAGCCCCAGTTCGAGACTTTGAGCTCACAGTCCAGCACTGTATGAATGTGTGTATGTCTGTGGGGGCGGAGGGGGGGAATGGGTCGAGGTGGGGGGGAGCGTTGCATTGTCGGGAGCCACCGTCCTTCAGATGAGACTTTAAAACAAAGTACCATTTACCTGTTCAGGTGGGCGCTAAAGATCCTGAGACGATATTGGTGAAAAGAGTAGGGAGTTTCTATCTCCCGGTTTCCTGGTTATCAATCCCTCAGATCGATGGGTCAATTACTTTCTGGCTGTTTGAGGGACAAAAACAAAAAGATTCATGAAGCAATCTCTGCGCTTGACAATAATTCCGGGAATCACTTTGAGGCGTGATAGACAAAAATAATATTAAGACTGTATGTTTGGCTTGGTTCATTCTTCAGGACTGGACATGGAAGAGGGTCGGCAGGGAGGAGCCTGGCTCGGGGTCTCCAGGTCAGGGAGGCTGAGCGGTATCTCCAACTGCCTACTCCTCCCCCTGCGGCCAGACGCCAAGGGCAAAGGTAACCTCAGAGAGCAATGGCCTCAGTGTTTGGAGCGAGAGAAATTGGGAGCTTGATCATGTGGGTCACCGGGAGGTCATTGACTTGAACTCAGAGCTGGCAAGCGAGCGGGCGGTGGTAACAACGACGACAACTTGCATTTATATAGCAACCTTCAGGCCGGATGGCATCTTGGAGTGCTGGCGGAGCCCAATGTCGAGCCAGGGGGAGGGGGGAGGTGACCATAGGCACAGTTGAAGAGTAGGATCTTGAAGCGTAACCTGAAAATGGGGGAGGGGGGCAAGGTGAAGGGGATTGAGGGAGAGTTCCACAGCTTTGGGGCGCAGGAACTGAAAGCACGGCCGCTGATGGTGAGGTGGAGGGTCTTGTGGATGAGGAGATGGCCGGAGCCAGTCGAGCGGAGGCAGTCGGTAGTGGTGTAGGGAGAGAGCAGGTTGGCGGGGGGTTTGGGGGGGGGATCCAGGGTGTGAAGGGATTTAAATACAAAGTGAGGATCTCTTGAAATCGATCCGCTGTGTGACAGGGAGTCGGTGGAGTTTGACAAAGACCGGGATAATGGAGGTACGGAGTTTAGTGCGGATGAGAATTCAGGTGGTGGAGTTTTGAATTAGTTGAGTTTTGTGAATAGTGGAGCAGAGACCAGTGAGGAGGGTGTTTGAATAGTCGAGGTGGGAGGTGACAAAGGCACGGACGAGGGTTTAATAATAATAATCCTTGCATTTGAAATATGAAAAATTTGGAAACTAATTGAAATTTCACGTCTTCTAGACGTCTCAAAAGCGCTTCACAGAATATACTGTAAAGTGAATTAACTGTATATTTGTGGGCGAAACTCGGCAGCAATGTCCCACAAAACAGTCGGAGATTGAAAATGACCAATTTATTATTGTTTTGTTTTTTTGGAGGGATTATTATTAGGCTCTGTGTGGAGTAAGGAAACTTGCCCGAGGTTTCGCCCTCTGCCTGGAATTGAACTCGGGTGTCTCACTTGCAAAGCGAGTGCTCTAACCACTGAGCTACAGGACTCCACAAGCTTGGGCAGCTTTTGGAGTGAGGTACGGACGGAGGTGGACAATGTGGTGTTGGTGCAGTAACAGGCTGTGTTTTGTATTCGCAGGATGTCTGGTGGCAGATTTCCTGGCCTCTGAACTTGATTGCCTCTCCTACACACAAAAAGTAGCCAAGGAAGCGAACCAGTATAATGGATTCAACCTGATCTGTGCAGAATTCCAGTGCGTGTGTCTTATTTATATTTCTCTCTCTCTTTCTTGCTTGCTTTCGTTTTCTCTCTCTCTCTCTCTTTCTTCCTCTGTCTCTTACTTTCTCCCCTCCACCCTCCCCATGCTCTTTCTCTTTCTCTCCTGTTTCTGTGCACAAACTGGCTGCCGGGTTTGCCTACAAACATACGGTCATAACACTTGTAATCACCTGTTTTTCCCACCTATGTTTATTTTCAGACAGTTCCAAAAAGCTGTGATGTGTTACTTTAACAACTTCAATAATTCCAACCCTGTCTTGTTGGAACCAGGTAAGAAAATAGAAAATAGGGAGAAAATCTTTTCAGGGGAATAAACTTTGCACAGAATTATTGATGACAGAATTGTTAGTGACTTTTTTAGGGGAGGTTGATTTTAAAATTATGAAGGTGGGGGCATTGCAATTGCTTCACAAAAAAGAAAAGAGCGAGAGAAAAGAGCACGAGAGAGAGAGAGGGAGAGAAGAGAGCGAGAAAAGAGAAGTTGCATTTCGTCATACGAAAATCCATCTCAAAGCGTTTTACAGTAATTACTGTCAAGTGTAGTGACTGTAAGCAAACACAGCAGACATTTCCTCCTCAGTGTGAACCTGTAAGCAGGATTTTTGGGGAGCCGGGACGAGTTAGATGGCAGAGGATATAATTATCAGCGCTGTGATCACGGTGGAGGGAGTGAAGATCTCAATGGTTTGTAAAATACATTACAAAATCACATTTGGAAAGCATCTTTCACGCAATAATAGTGTTATATTCCTCCCTCCCCCATTAACCCCTTTGTTACCTTCAGGGATCTATGGTCTGGGCAATGCTACGCTGAACACACCCTGGACTAAGCTACTGTATGGGAAGCGGCTTTTCACTAATGTGATTAATCGGGCGGTCGAGATCGCAGGAGACAGCTTAACCCAGAGACTGATGCACATTCTCAGCAACAAGGAATCGTAAGTCACGGCTAAACATGTCTGTCCAATGATCAGTTACCGTACAGTGTAAACTAACTAGTGATCAATTATTGTATAGTGTAACTAGTGATCGGTTATTGGAATGGAATGCACACTCTCTCCCTGGAGGGAAGCATCCTGCTTACCTAATTCCAAAAAGTATTATGCACAGGGTGGCAAGAGCCCAGGCTTGTGGGGGCGCTGGGTCAGTGGGTGACTTTAACGTTAACCGTTTGGCTCGCAGGCAGCTGCCAGACCCGCTGCTAGAGGAGACGCTGCTGACACACAATTACATGCAGAATCACGTGGAGGAATTCTCCGCACTGTGCGTGGAATCGCCTTCGATCGGCACGCGGTAGGTTAACCCAGGAAACCGCTGCTTAGGCTTCAAGCAGTAACGAGGGGGAGAGGAAAGAGATTCTCTATAAAGAGTGAGATGAAGCGATCTAACGACTCCTCCGCTCCATGTGCGTTTCATTTCAGAACACACACTGTGATACTGATCAATGCCAAGGGAGAGGTCACGTTCACCGAGAGGACCTTGGTCAGCAAGGAGACTGCGCAATGGCAGACCAGCAGCTTCAGGTTCACAATCCACCCCTGACACCACGGCCTGAACTCAGGAGAGGACATCCCTCACAGGGACATCAGGTCTCCTCTTGGGAATATTGGGGTTTCTCTCTCAAATCAGGGAATTGAAATTCAGGAGATGGTGACCAGGGAACAGCGCATCTCCTTAGAAACTCTCTTCACATCAGGGATTAAGCATCAGGATGTTACCCCTTTTAGTCCGAACCTCTATGAAGACCTTTCTTTTCTCTCGTGGATGTACCAGGACGAGCAGACAGGAGACTTGGCTTAACACTTCCTTCAACAGTGCTGTGGTTAAACCCTTTGTGACAATGGCTGCAGATGTGGACCGTGAGCAGCTTTGCTTCAAAGTCACCTGTGGAAGGAACAGAGGGGATATAGGCTTACAGAGCTATACCACTTACTGTGCATGTTGTACAGTGTTGCAGGCTGTTCTGTACATGTATACGGTCCTCTTTGATACAGGGTAACATTACTGGACATGTTGTATTGCACGGTGTTAAATACTGTTGTACTATATGGTGTTACACAATTACTGTATAAATGTTATAGTTTCCCACTGTAACATTTCTGTAAATATATAAAATTGTACGGTTACATTTCTGTACTAGTGTGACACCTTGATACAGGGTGTAACATGTTATACCATGTTAGTTACAGATTTAGGACATTCTAGTTACAAGCTAAACTATCTCTGAAATACAACCACTAAATGTATTTTATAGAAATAGTTTACAATAACGACCGGTAATAAAAAGTGTGCAGAATTAGGCAGCACATTACCTTGTAATCGATCAGAAATAAAATGATTGTGATTTATAAACTGTGTTTCACGGTAATAATGTGTCAAAAACAAGCGGAAATGTACAATTGTTTTGCGACTAACTGGTTGAAGTGCAATAAGCTAAACCTGGTTCAGACCAGGCTAACGGGTCGAGAGGGCACAGGCTCCAGGGTGTGAAGGACAGGTTTAGGACAGACACCAGGAACAGAGGGGAATGATCAGCTACAATAATAATGATACTTCTGTTTGATATAGCACCTAATCACGTCTTCCGAGACACCTCAAAGCGCTTCACAGAATATACTGTAAAATTAATTGACTGTGTATTTTGTGGGTGAAACGCGGCAGCCAATTGTGCACAGCAGCGTGCCACAAACAGTCGTGGATTGAGTGAACAAATTATTATTATTTTAAGGGATTATTAACCCCGGAAAAGCGATCCGCCAATCGAATAGCAACTAGGTTCCTACTTACTGCATAGGTAAATAAAGGCATAAGGAAGTAAGGAAACTTGCCAAACGTTTCACCTTGCCCGGGAATCGAACCATCTCGCTTGGAGGTGAGTGCTCTAACCACTAAGCTACAGGACTCCAGCTGGAATGGGTTAGCAGGAAGAGTAGTTGAGACCAGGACATGGGGCCAAAGAACCTTCTTGTGATCTTGATTGCCCGGTTCTCAGGTTTAAAACCAGGTGATCGCGGGCAGGAAACCAGACAATCAAAACAACCCCAAACGGCGGCCTTTTTTTTTCTTTTATTCTTCTTTTGTAGTTTGGCAAAGGTTGGTACATTTGTGCTTTCTACAGTTGCGTGTTCAAATCCCGTTTCTTTATAAAGAATAAAATAAGTATGGAAAATTTCGGAAGCTTGCGTACACCTTGGGCACTGTAGCGTGCACAATAAAAAGTCAAGTTCAAGTATAAATCAATCAGGCGGAATATACATTTTTACTTTATATACAAAATGTTGTTCCCTATCTAGCTATAATGCCAGTAAAAGTCAACTATATATGCATATATATATGTGTGTATGTAGCGAGGTGTGGGGTGGGGGTTAGAGATTGTGGGAGAGAAAGGAGTGAGAGTAATAGAGTGTGGGGAGAAAGAGAGAGATTGTGGGGAAGAAGGGGTAAGAGATGGGGAGATTGTGATTTAGAGGGAAAGAGAGATTGTGGGGGGAGGGCACATGGGAGAGACAAATTGTAGGAACAGTGGCAAAGAAGGTCAGACTGGGAAAGAGAAGAGAAAAAGAAGGGAGGGAGAGAGAAGGGAGAGCAGAAAATAGGGTGAAGGGAGGAAGAAATAGTGGGGAGAGGAGAAAAAGAGTTACTAGCAAATCTGAATCAGCCTCAAAAATCTAGATCAAGTGCTTAATTATTCTTCATATACTAAATAGTTTCTGAGTTTAATAATATATAAAATGCTCCTTATTAACAACATACAGCAGGAGGTAAGGTGATGTGCTTCTGGGCAGGTTTAGTCTGGGCTCTTGTGCCCCCCATGGGATTTGTCCCCTCAATCATTTTTTTTGTTTGCAAATGCATCTGTCAATTATTTTGCCAATCCCCCAGCCCCCCCCCTCCCACAATTTAGATTGAATTCAAGAATTCCCCTCTTTCTTCTCAATCCAACTGATCCGCATTCTTTTAAATTTCAGGGCAAAACACTCCCAACTATCAAAGACTAAGCAGAATTTCAGGGCTCCTGGTGGTGGTAGGGTTGGTGGGGGGGAGAAGGGCTGCAAAGAGAGGCTGTGATGGACGAGTTCAATAACTGAAGCTGAAAGGGATATTTGAGTCCACAGAAACACTCACAGTCGTAGGTAACTTGCTGTTAGTGCTGAGGCATTGCTGGGAACTGAAGTACTGGCAAGTGGCCACCAAGTAACAGGCGAAACCTCAGCATGGCAAGGCCAACATCGGCTTATCTGTTGTACACCAACGCCAGTCAGTCAGCAATGGAACCAAATTGAGACATTGTACATTGGTGAAAGCCGCAAGGTTAAAGGGAGGCACATCAGCGGGTTTCATCAGGTATCAGCCAGGCTCAGTCGCTCACGCTATCGCCTCTGGGTCAGAAGGTTGGGTTTAAGCCTCTAGGTTGGGGGGGTGGGGGGGAGGGGGTCCATGGAGGAAAGCACCGCATTGTCTCAGGCCCCGAGATGTTAAACCAAGATCCTGTATGTCCTGTTCAGGTGGATGTGAAATATCCAGTGCCGCTATTGGGAAAAGAGAAGAAAAAGCAAGTTTCGCCCCTGGTGTCTGTGTGCAAACTCACTGCCGCATCCACCTGCAAATACACAGTCACTACACCCATTAGCAAGTCGCTGTGAAGTCTCAAAGCAAAAATTCATGAATTTTGAGTTGTTTACCCCACCCTCTCCTGTTCGTTTCCCATTCAGAAAGCAGAGCGGGGAAAATAATAATAATTGATATATTGCATTTGATATAGCGCCTTATCACGTCTTCCAGACATCTCAAAGCACTTCACAGAATATACTGAAAAGTGTAGTGACTGTGTATTTTGCGGGAGAAACACAGCAAGCAATTCTGCACAGTAGTGTTCCACAAACAATGGTAGATTGAATGAGCATATTTTTTTTGAAGGGATTATTACCCACGTAAAGTGATCCGCCAATCAACTAACAACCGGGTTTCTATTTACTGCTCGGTAAACAGAGGCATGTGAAGTAAGGAAACTATCGTACGTATCACCCTGCCCGGGAATCAAACCCAGGTCCTCTTGCTTGCGAGGTGAGTGGTCTAACCACTGAACTACAGGACTCCACAAAGATTTGGGATTAGATTGGAGGTGAAGTTAGTCAGATGGGGGGGGGGGGGGGGGAGGGTGGGGGTGGCAGGCCCAGACAGATCCTGCAAAAAAAATAACACAACCGAACAATAAACCGCACCACCTCCCACAAAGTCCAGCCACAGACTGCCGTCAACGGGTTCCCTGATTTCCGTTGTGGATAAGTCTGCGGTCAGACAGACAGATACCTGGGTTATTCGTTTCTCCTTAACGCTTACAAAGTGTTTGGAAGCCATGCATCGTGAAGATTATTGCTGCAATACAGCGCAGAGTCTTATTTACAGTATCAACATTCCGCCTCCTTTTCCTCTGTTCGGCACCAAATGAACTCTCTCGAATCATTAAAGTAATTTACAAATGACGTTCTCCGCCTGCCCGCCCCCCCCCCCCCACCCCCCCCCATCTCATAAATATACCAAATAAATAAATAGATAAGTTAATCAATAAATAAATCATTAAATACATAAATAAGTCTCACAAACATTAAAAAAAACAAAATCATTTCTCTCTCTCTCTCTCTCAAAGTGGCGAGCGCTTTGGCAACACAGGGGTTAATGATCCATGGCTCAGAGGTGATTGGCACACAGTACATTTAAAGGGGCACTGCATTGCCCTTCGGCGTAACGAGAGAATAAAACAGCGCAGCACTGAACAAGGTGATTAAAGGCCGTTTTTGGTCCTTCTACCCCAAAGTGTTGATTATTGCCAGTGATAATTGGCACATCACTGGTCAATGCGCTGACTGATGGCCAAGCGACCCTGCCCCCATGCTGGCTCCTCCCCCTAATGGACGGGTAGGAGGAGCCACCTCCTTATCCGCATTTCCAACACTATGACCGGTAACTTTTCCCTTGACGCCCCTCCCTCCCTCCCTCCCTCCCTCCCCCCTCGAGTCTCCCTTTGACACATCCCCATGGGTCTGGGCAGGCAGGATGCGTCCCTCCAGGGAGAGAGTACGCATCTTCTGTCCAAGAAATATCTCTGGGATTTCCCTGTGTGGGTGGGTGGGAGGCACGGAATTCTCAGCTTGGTTTGGAGACTCTTAAATACGGTGATGGGTTTCCGCGTGTGGCAGACCCCCCCCCCCCCAACCCCCGCCCCCCCCAAAAAAAAATTCTGAGCATCGCAATAAAATTCTTGTTCCTCTTCCGTCCTGACATTCAGTGCCCCCCCACCCGTCCACCTCTACCCCATCTCGCTGGCCTGGCAGTGCCCCTTTAACAATGACAACAATTAAGAGACCCTGCACAGAGTCGATTAATTCAACAAAATGGCACGATTTGTTCTGGCCCGGACTGGGCGGACGGTCAGACACTCATCCTGAACGACGCCTGTCTTCAGTCACTGAGATGCTCTCTCGTCTCAGACACAGGAAGCTTTCGTACAGTCGCTGGCAATATCCATCGCCTCGGGAGGCACCACTGATCTCTCCCATAAGTTTAATAAAGAGCAGCATAAAGAATACAACAGGTCAGCTTCACGTAAGAGTGTGTGCGTGTGCGCGTGTGAGTGAACATGTGAGAATGTGCGTCAACACGCGTGCGAGGTGTGAGCGTCAACACGTGCGTGAGGTGTGAGCGTCAACACGGGTGTGAGGTGCGAGCATGAACGCGTGAGCGTTGGATGAGTGTGAACGCGGATGTGCATGAACATGCGTGTGAGTGTGAACATGTGAGTGTGCATAATTGTTCTCGTGTTTGTTTTCCTTCCATTCCTGGGCTGCAGTGCAGAAATCCTGAGGTCATGTCCTCTCTGAGAAGCGAAGTTCCTCCCAATCAGTCCTGATCTTTTTTTTTTGTGTTTAAGATTGTGTTTTTTTTTAAAAAAACAAGTTTCTTGCAAAGATCCAGCATATCATTTTTGTTCGTAGTAAAATCTCAACGAAGTATTGCTTTTTGTTTTCGAGTTGGGAAGCTCAATTTTTTTTAAAAAACGTTTTTTTTNAAACACATTGGCTTTTTTTTCTCTCTCACTTTCGTTCTTCCTCTCACCTTTTCTCTCTTTCCCCTTCCTTTCTTTCTCTCTCTCTCTCTCTCTCTCTCTCCCACCCTCTTTCTCCATCCGTTTCTCTCTCTCCTCCTCCCTCTTTCTCCATCCAGTTGTCTCTCCCTCTGCATTTCTCTCCCTCCCTCTCTCTCTCTCCCCTTTCACCCTTTCTCTCGATCTCTTTCCATCGCTCTCTCTTCTCTCTCCCTTTCTCTCTCTCTCTCTCTCTCACTCCCTGCCTCCATCTCTCTCTCTCTCCTCCTCCTCCTCCTCCTCCCGCTTAGTCGCTGACCGGGCACGAGTCCTCATCGCCCGGCCCCTTGAAGCAGGCCGACTCGTAGTGCTTGTTCAGGTAGGACTTGAGGGCGAAGGTCTTGTGGCAGCGCTTGCAGCGGAAGTGCTTGAAGGCCGAGTGCGTCTGCATGTGGGCGCGCAGGTTGGAGCGGTCGGCGAAGGCCTTGCCGCAGTGGGCGCAGCCGAAGGGCTTCTCCCCGGTGTGTGAGCGCATGTGGCCCTGCAGCAGCCAGGGCCGGCTGAAGGCCTTGCCGCACGTGCCGCACTTGTGACGCAGGTCGTGCGTCAGCACGTGCATGGCCAGCGCCGGCATGGACACGTACACCTTGGCGCACGTCGGGCATTTTCGCGCCAATTTGCTGTCCAGGCTGCGGTGCGTCTGCTTGTGGCGGCTCAGGTTGGACGACGTGGCGTAAGTCTTGCCGCACTCGCTGCACGCGTGCCTCTGGCCTCCCGCGGCGCCCCCGCCGACACCTCCTCCCCCTCCGCCGCCGCCGCCGCCGTCTCCTCCTCCGCTCCCCTCAGGCTTCCTCCGCGACCGCCCGTCCGTGATGAAGAAAGCGTCCATGCTGTAGCCCTCGCTCACCGCCGCCGCCTCCCCGTTGAAGTAGTTGTTGCCGCCGTTATTGCTGCTGCTGCTGTTGTTGTTGTGGTGGTGGTGGTGGTGGCTGTTGTTGTTGTTGACGCCGATGCCATTGTGGGCCAAGGGCCCTCCCGGGCTTCGCCCTCCCGCCGCCGCCGCCGCCACCACCACCGCCGCTGCCGTCGCCTCAACATAGCTCTCGCCTCCCACGTGGGTGTAGCCACCGGACTCCGGGCTGATCCGTTCGCTGTCGACGTACAATGCGGGTGATTTGTAATCGTGGATGTAACCTGGTGGCAGATCAATAATAATAATCACAACAACAGCAGCTTGTATTTGTAGCGCGGCCTCTCACGCGGGGTAACGTCCCCCGAGCGCCTCACAGTGGCTGGAGGATGACCCCCACCGGGGTATGGGGGCCCCTACAAACCCCATCAAACAAGAAAGGTCGTTAGGCAGGATTTGAAGGTGGTTTGGGAGAGGAGAGGTGGTAATAATCCTTGCATTTTGATGCAGCACCTTATCACATCTTCGAGACGTCTCAAAGGGCTTCACAGGATATACGGTAAAGCGTAGTGACTGTACATTTTATGGGCGAAACCCGGCAGGCAATTGCGCACAGCAGTGTCTCACAAACGGTTGTGGATTGAGTGTTTTTTTAAAAGTATTACCTGCAATAACAACAATAGTAATAATAATTTTGGCAAAGATCTTGTGGCAGCGCTTGCAGCGAAAGTGCTTGAAGGCCGAGTGCGTCTGCACGTGGGCGCGCAATAACAATAATTGTGGAGTCCAGTACCTCAGTGTTTAGAGCGCTCGCCTTGCAAGCGAGAGACCTGGGTTCGATTCCTGGCAGGTCAAAGCGAAATCTTGGGCAAGTTTCCTTACTCCACACACCTGATAATAATTCCTCAACAAAAAAAATAATTGGTCACTTCAATCCACGACTGTTCGTGGGGACGCTGCTGTACGCAATTGGCTGCTGCGTTTTGCCCACAAATATACAGTCAATTCACTTTATAGTATATTCTGTGAAGCGCTTTGAGACGTCTCAATGACATGAAAAGCACTGTATCAAATGCAAGGATTATTATTAACAACAGCAATACCAAATTAATAATAACAATAATAATCTCGATTATTGTAGCTTGCGATTACCAGGATGGTAGAAGGCAAACTGGATGGATCTAGTCTTTTTTCGTCCAGCAATTCCTATATTCCCAATAATAATAAAAACAACAATACTCCTTGCATTTGATACAGCGCCTTATCACATCATCGAGTCGTCTCAAAACACTTCACATGATTTCACCCACAAACAGCCATGGAGTGAGTGACCAATTTTATTTGGGGGATTGTTGGCCAGGGGCACCGGGAGAAACTCTTCTCTTTTCAAAAAGGTGCCATGGGATCTTTAACATCCACTTGAACCGACAGGAACTCGGTTTAACGTCTCATTCAAAGGACAGCACTCCGACAATGCAAGACCACCATCCCCCGCGCCCCCAACAGTGCATCGGAGCATCATCTTAGGCTGTGTGATTCCAAGACCCTACGTGAAGTTTGAACCCACAATCTTCTGTCTCAGAGACAAAACTGCTGCCACTGTGCCAGGCTGACACACAATAATAATGATAGAAGATAGTATTCAGAAATGGCTTGAACATAGTACCTGGGGAACAAAATATCAGCCTCCTGCAAAAGTAGCTATTTTAGGAAGCTCGAACCATGCCAAGAAAAATAACATCCATTCACATGTAAAGTGGCAGTTGATAGTCTGGCTGACCATCACTGAAAATCACTTGGAAACTATCTCTACAGACTGATTTAAACTGTAATAATATAATAATAATAACAGTAACAATAATGTGGTCAGCTGGTTTGGAAACTCTTAACCACGGCGATGGGTTTCTGTGCGTGTGTAAGACACCTGGTGACTGAAATCCGCCCAAAAATATTAATATCATTCCTCGCGTTCGATGCAGTACCCGCAACCTGAAAACCGCTCACCTGTATAGAGTCTTGTTTAGACCCCATCTGGAGTACTGCGTTCAGTTTAAGGCACTGCACCTCAGGAAGGATATATTGGCTCTGGTGGGGGGGGTGGGGTACAACACAGATTCACCAGAATGATACCAGGCTTAAATTATGAGGGTTAAAGTATGAGGACAGGTTGCGTAAGCTTGGTCTCTATTCTCTTGAATTTGGAAGGTTGAGGGGTGATCTGATTGAGGTTTGTAAAATATTAAAGAGATTCGATAGGGTAGCTACAGAGAAACTATTTCCTCTGGTGGGGGAATCCAGAACAAGGGGGGCATAACTTTACAATTAGAGCCCAGGCCATTTGGCAGTGAAATCAGGAGGCAGTTTTTCACCCAAAGGGTAGTGGAAATCTGGAACTCTCTCCCCAAAAGGCTGTGGATGTTGGATCCATTCATCACAGTTTCAAGACTGAGGTGGATAGATATTTGTTAGGTCAGGCTATCATGGGTTAGGGGGCAAAGGCGGGTAATTGGAGTTCAGGTACAGATTAGCCGTTATCTTATAGAATGTTGGAACAGGCTTGAGGGGCTGAAGGGCCTCCTCCTGTTTCTGTGTTTTAAGGCGCTACACATTGGACTTTAACAATGAGATCTGCCTTTGCGCTGTGTGTGTGCTGCAGAGCTAAAAACAATGGCCTTTGCCCCCTGTCGAGCGCAGCACTGACTGCAGTCAGAACATTAATTAAACATTGATTATTTGTTACTGCGGCCACACAACGGAGAAGTCAATAAACCAAAGGTCTGGCGGGGGAGGAGACTCCGTCCTGGGTAGACCATCATAGAGAGTGGCCATGTCCCGGCCATTCCAGCACTCCTTGCACAGTTTGTCAGCTTAACTGCACCACTTGCTTTTTGAAACCTTGTGCTTAAAGCTGTCAGCACGCTGTCGGAAAAGAGTTTTTTTTGTCCCGAAATAGTAATTACCTCCCCTACCTGATCAACCAGCCGTTCACTTCCTGGCTGTTTGGGGGACCTTAATGCATGCAAAAAGATTCTGCTGGGTTTCCTTACCAAACAAACAGTCACTACACTTGACACCAATTTGCTTGTGAAGCGCTCGTCTCAAGACCTTCCTTTTCGACTATGCCTTTGGTTATCTTCCCTCCTCCACCCTTTCTGATTCCATCCCGCAGCTCAGGTAAAAACCTTTCATTGTCCAGCGCTTTGGGATGTCCTCCCGATGTGAAAGGCGCTGTGTAAATGTCATTTGTTGCTATGATAATGTGTTTTACTTTATTTTCCATAGTCAGGCACCAGAAGAAGCCTGAAATCCCACCCAGTCTTAGCCTGCGGGATCTTTTTATCTTAGAATTGGTATAAATTGCTGAATGCAGACTTAGTGCGGAATTCTCTCTCTCTCTCTCTCTCCCCCTCTATGTTTCTTTCTCTTTAAGAACAGCAAGGAATTGGCTTCTGAATCACGGCCGGTTCCCACCTTTCTGTACGATCTTAAAAATATTAATAATACCCAAAATACAATGAAATAATGGTTGTATTTGATACAGTGCACCTTATCATGTTGTTGAGACGTCACAAAGCACTTGACAGAACTGACTGCGAATTGCAGTGACTGTATTTTATAAGCAAAATCTCAAGGCTAAGACTTGGCAGAGTTTTGTGCCTCTGAATTGTGTGTAACTCCCCCCCAGGGACACACGCAGGGTAATAGATTGCTGGCAGCAAGTTTCTCAGCTGTAAGCATGAAGTCAGCGATCTGTGACTGTCAGCCAAACCCTGACATTGAGTCTGAGCCTGGTTCTGCGCTGACAGACTCGGGCGTTTTCTCTGCAAACACAGCCTCCAAAACGCGCTATTGCTATTCCTGAATCAGGAATCCTATTAGAATTCTCATACGGAAGATCAGGAGGAGAATTAGCACTGAGTTTGTGTCCCCACATCGGGCGCTCTGAGCTCACATCAAGGCTTACGCTCCAGCGCATGTGCTGGGGCATCAGTAAGAGACACCGTCCTTCGGACGAGACGTTAAACTCAAACTCCTGTCTATACTCCAGGTTCAGATGGACGTTAGGGATCCCACAAAGCTAGTGTGGAAGAGGAGGGAGTTTCGCCAGGTCACAAATAAAAAATTGGTCACTCACCTTATGGCTGTTTGTGGGACATTTCTGTGGCGCAAATTGCCTGCCACTTTCACCTACAAATGCACTCACTATACTTTGTAGAAGCAAGTCAATTTGATATGAACTGCAAAGAGTGTTTATTTTAAACCCCAGGCAGAGTCGGTTTACATGAAATTAATGTTTATTGTAGGTTATTCAAACGAACAAAGTTCAGTGTGTTAGAGGTGAAAGTTATCTATGCTAATAAAGACAAAATATCTGTCTGTGTGTCTGTCCCCCAATAACACAATAACCGATTGACGTTGAAGCATGATTTATACCTCATCGGAAAGGTCTTGGATGGGGGAGTGTCATGGGCATATTATTTTTTTTGGGGGGGGATTTCCTATTATTGATGAGCTATGACCCAAACAAGCTCATCTCACATGTTTGACAGTTGGTCACTCAATCCACGATTGTTTGCAACCAGGTTGCAAGCGTAGCTGCAAAGGGAACCTCTAGTAGAAATATAAAACTCGCAGCATTTCATACAGAAACTATATCATTCATCTACAAAACACACAATCACTGCATCTTGTGTATCCTGTGAAGCACTTTGAGACGTCCTTCCAACGTGAAAAATGTTTCAAATGCAGGAATTATTATTCCATGGAAATTTCTCAAAAGTGCTTCACAGGAAATTGTTGCAGAGTATAGTGGCTGTGTATTTATAGGGAAACTCTGGAACCACTGACCCTATCTAGGAGGCAAAGCACCAGGAACGGAGAGTGTTGAGTGTCTCAGCAATGTTTTGGGTTTGTTCTAAGTGAGCTGATCTCATCTCCAAGTGCATTTAGAGATGCAACAACTGACCTCAACATCCCTGGGGTGTGGGAGGGGGAGAGATGAAGAATCGGTCAGGAGTCTTGTTTCTCACTGCTATCAAGTTACCCACACACATCCTCACCCATCATTACAATCGACTGTATTGTAACTCATTAAAAAGAATCACTGAATCTGTTAATAGCAATGAAAATGGACATTTTCCTCGAGAGATGAAAGTAGGTAGAGGCTGAAGGAAGGAGACAGAGGT